TTAGTACCAAAAATTGGAGTTACCGATTGTCTTTACTCTCCTTTTGATACCCGGGGAGGGGTCTCTTCACATTTTCAGGCTTCCACGGAGCAAAACCCGCGCGAGCATTCATTGATTTTAACGCTTTTCTTGGTTTTTTTTCTTTTTTCCGTCGTAGGGTGCAACCTAAAAATCTTCAATAACCAAGAATTCGCCGCTCTTCTGGCTCAATCCGTGAACCAAGGGTTCGAAGCCGTTTATCAGCTCACGCGGATGTGCACCATAAGGATGAGTTTCGTGAAAGGATGGGGAGCTGAATATCGGTAAGGAAAAAGCAATTTGCTTTTAGAACTCAGATCGGAATGGTTTGGGGTTGGAAGGGACCTTAAAGCTCGTAGAATCAGCCGCTGTCTCCCAAAAATTCCCAACCCGCTTGTGCAAGCGAACACCCTTTTCCCCCTTTTCCCACTTTCCTCTTCCTTTTTCCAGGCGGCAAACGGTAACAAGCACTCCTTGCTGGATCGAACTTCATTTGAACGGACCTCTGCAATGGTTGGATAAAGTCCTGACTCAGATGGGCTCCCCTTCCGTACGCTGCTCCAGCATGTCGTAAAATTCCTTCCACTGTCGCCGCCGGCCTACGCAGCGAGTCCCAGTCCACGGAATTCGGATAACGGCTCCTCCGTCGTAGCCTTAGTGGGCCCCACGGACCGTTTCCTCGCCCAAAAAATGTTGTTTGGGGTGTTGGTTTGGTTTGGGGTTTTATTTTTAAGAAAAGCAGCACTTGAGGTCTCGTGAATTAAAGCACCTTGTGGATCGTTTCCTAGACTGACACTAAATGAAAATTTCAGGGATAGAAACGCCTTCTTTCGGCAGAAGGGATAGTTTTAACGACTCTTAACGGTGGTTTTCTTGGGTGTAAAATTCTCTTAACGCTTCCTCAAGAGCCAAGGATACGGCCAGGAAACGTATCGTGATCTCAAATCTCAGCGCAGCGTTTTCCTTCCCAAAAATATAGTCATTTGGGGTTGGTTTTTGACTGGGCCAAATCCCTCAAACTTCCATGATTCTGCTCCTTTATTAGTTTAGATGTTTTTTTTTTTTTATATATAAGCAAGGTTTTCGAGCAGTCCGAATCCTAAAAAAATACCCGTCTCGCTCCGAATTTTCCACCCTAGCTGACGACTGGTGGGTTTATTCCCCGTCCTTCCTCCGTCACGCCGCTACGGCCGGCCGGCGCTCGCTCCGCTGGGGAGGACGAGAAGGCGGCCTGGAAAATTGGGCTTAAAAA